CCTCAGACTTCAATCCCCTAATCCCTCTGGTTGTGTCTAATGGATGCAGAATGTGATGACTGTAATCTGGTTGCCAGAAGTTCCAGTTAGTTTGTCCAGAGTTGTCAGAGTTGTATTCTGATTGCAGACTATGCCTCCACCCTTCACATTTTAAACCTAGGCATACCATGGCTCTTTCGGTCAGTGTTGGGAGCTAGGCCCAACCAAGGCTTTCCCTAAGACCCTGGTATATGAAGGAGGAATGCAGTTCCTTGCTTAAACCCAGGAATATGCTTGGAAAGGCTAGTAATGACCTGGGGCTTGGGACTTCAGATCCTGGAACCTCAACTCTAGCCCCATAAAGAGCTGTGGTTATCAGTCCCAAGGCTGCTGTGTTCAGTCTATAATGAACTTGAGATATCCTGTGTTCTCCTTGTACAACATTGATGGTTTAGCTTCTTGCTAACTTCATCCTACTGTATGATAGTTTCCCACTTATTCTATGCCATTTCTCTCCTGCAAACAGTATAAAAGATGCTGTACTTTTTAATAAGCTTGATGGCATGAGCCATCAGCTTGTGTGAGATCACCTGATTGCAAACTTTCGCATCTTCTTTATCTTCACACACCCTAGTCCTCTCTGTCAGGAACCTGGCCCAGATCACTCCATACTCTCCCATCTTCTGAGGTTTCTCAATGAGACTGCCATGTGCCTGAGTTCAGAAGGCATGGGACTCATGCAAAAGCTTTCAATGATTAGTCAACTGCTGGATTCCCTGAGATCCTTTCAAGTTGTCTGAAAGACCAAAGTCAATTTCATAGCAATGTTGGGATACAAATGACCTTTTTCATTGTACTGACATTTGCAGTGAAATACAGGGTGGGGTGAGTATACACCAGAGCTAGAGGAAGAATCCAGGTAGCATCATCAACCCTTGAGGGTGGTTGGTGTATTCCCAAAGCCCTTGACTTCAAACAAAAGGCAGTTTTGCTGAAGAACACCCCTCATGAAGTAGGAATCTTAACTGCTACATTAACATTAAGTCTAATTTTACTACTGACAGTATTCAAGCTCATTCTAGAAGAAGCATCTTTCCAACATTTTGAGGGAGGATGGAGGGCAGGAAAAGCCTTGTGTATGGAGGCAGCTGAGATATCCTCCAGGAAAGCTCCATGTGGCTACTGCAGCTGTGAACTAAACAGGACAACACCTTCAAGAATCATTACTTTCAAAGGTTATTTTCCCCACAATGAGCAGTTACTCTATCACTTCAGATAATAGATAGTGATTGTTACCAAGAATAACATTTCAACTTCCAAGTAAAGAATCTGAACTTTGGAAGATCATCATTCACTATTGTGGGCTGAAATGGAAGGAACGATGCTAAAGAGTGTGACTGATGATTGTCTAATCAACAGGGTGAACCTCTGACACTGAAACATGTGGGCATAGGGAGTTCTGCTCTGCACACCCCTGCCACTCAGATCTCCCAGGGCAGGGCCAGCTTTTCTCTTACTTGATAACTTCTGGGACAGGAAAACCTAGGCCACAGTGCATCTGCAGACTCTTTTCAAACACACTGGCTGGCTGCTAGCAGACCAGCATGCTTCCTTTCTGAAGGACTACCATCAAAGGAGGTCACATATGCACATGGCCACCCAGCATTTCCAGGCAACCACAGTAGGAGCATTTTTTCCAAAGTCGACCATCCTCCTGGGCCAATACTCTCTGCTCACCTCCACTGATATCCTGTCTCCTAACTAGACCCTGGGCTTCAGGTCTAGGCCAGAAGGGCAGTGTTGGTCACATCCACCATGGTGACCCTTAGCACCTGCACCGGCATTCTCGTCATACTCTGGAGGAATTAATAGCAGATCCATTATAAAAACTTAGTGGGTTGCACAGTGGTGGTACACTCCTTTAATCCAAGTGCTAGGGAGGCAAAGGCAAGCAGATCTCTGAGGTGGAGGATAGCCTGGTCTACAGAGTAAGTTCCAGAACAGCCAGGACTTTACACATAGAAATCTTGTCTCAAAAAACCAAACACACACACACACACACACACACACACACACACACACACACACACACACACACAAAGCGTAGTAGGCACACAAAATCTCCAACTGAGGACCACAATGAACCAAACCTAGCTACAGCTACCCCAAGTGTCCAAAACCAAACAAAAGATAGATGTGGTTCCTACCCTCTAGATTTCAACCTATGGGTGGCAACCCTTTGGCAAACCTGTCTCCAAAAATATTTATACTGCAATTCATAACAGTAGCAAAATTACAGCTCTAAAGAAGCAATGAAAATAATTTTATGGCTGGGGGTCACCACAACATGAGAAACTCTATTAAAGGGTCTCTGCATTTCTTTAAGAAGGTTGAGAACCACTGCTCCAGAACCTGCCCTGCAAAATAACTCACTCTACCTACTTCGGCAAAGCAGAAGCCACTGGAGCCATGGGGGTTCAGATGTGGACTCCTTCAGAGGCTGTATAACCTGAGGTACCGGCCTGTCTCTCTCTGAGTATCCACTTGGTGCACAGGTATGACCAAGGTGCAGTGTTTAACTCCCATTTTCATCCCTAAAGTCACATTTATTAACCACAAAGCCTGAGGCCCTAGTTTGGTAGTTTGCTTCACAGTCTGGAGCCATGAGTCCCTGGAAGCCCCATAGGAAGTGTGTGGATAGCTAACAAACTTTGATAAGTCAGTCTAACCTTAGACAAATTCTGGAGACACAGGTAAGGGCCAGATAAGAACATCTCCATTCAACAAAACCAAAACTGCTTTCTGAGGGCTTCCAACCCAGGCACAGGAAATGGATATTCTGGGAGAGCATTCCAGCAGAACAAAGAATGAAGGAGGGAGAGGTGTGACCAGGAGTGGGAAATGGGTTAAGAGACAAGCCACCACTGGTAAAGGGCAGGACCGTGCAGGCCCTTGGAGGATAGCCAAGGTTCATTCAAGCCTGTATTTTAACCAAGCTCACACCCTCTCTGGCTAACCTAAAATGACACTGGCTCTTGTTTGGGAAGGCCCAAAGTCTCCAGTCTCTTGGGATTGCCTTAGCCACATGAAATACAGTCAAGCTCCCAAATCCCAAATGGTGAAACAGAGAGCCTCCAACTGCAGCTCACGTGAGGCTCATGTGGAATCAATCCCAGCCACGTGAGGGAAAGAAAGATGGCTACCACTGAGCTGCGAACGTGCTGTAAACACAGGCGCCAGAGGAGTATGTGCCTTCTGCTTGTCAGTCCTGTCAATAAACCCTTTGCCCAACAACAAAGCTCAGGTGAAAAATGAAAGGGCAGCATTGATTCTGTTGTACAGCGATCTTATTTACAAACAGAAGCCAGATAATCTCGGATTTAAATGGCACAAGTCCCATCACTCACAATCAGAGACTCAACAATAATAATTTATAAACTTTTACATTATGCTTCAATCCCTTCTCTTAACAGGGAAAGGTGAAATTTTGAAGGAGTAAAAAATATGAAAACATTAACAAAGAAGGGAAGTGATGAATTGATGCTTAGGCCAAAACATGTCTCTAGTGGGCACATTTGTCTTTACAAGAAACAAAATAAGTCAAGGGCCATCTGGATCAGCAGCAAAGAGGAGGCTTCCGCTCTTCAGTAACACAAGAGGATGCTAATTTCTCCCCATCTGCCTCCAGTATGAAAAGCAATGCAAACCCAGGTCTCCTTGACATACCACTTGGCTGATCCCTTCAGATTAAGCCTCAGGGTCTAAGCCATTTTCTGAAGCTTTATTTGACCTTCAGGTTCAGTAGATGAGCTGAGACATCTTCAGCAGAGACACCTACTCAGAAAGATAAGAGCTGCTGTGGCCCAGATGGCTTCCTGATGCCCAGGGGGCTAAGACTCCACGTTAGCTGGCATAGCACAGGCCATGGTCTTTCTTGCATATCTTCTACAAGTGGCTCCCAGAGAGAATCTTGGGAATCTGGTCCCTCTGACAGTTAAAGAACACTCTAACCTTCTCTCCTCTATCAACAAAAGTCCTTGTTCTCCTATGGATCTCCTTTCACCACACTCAACCCTGGGAGCCTGTACTTGCCACTTCTGTACACAGCAGTGAAACACCTGGGCTCCAGCCCACAGTGTGGTCCTCTAGGTATGCCTCATGCCTTGCTCAAGAGCAGTACGTAGTGCCAGGTACAAAGCAGGTGTTTAGGAAAGGAATTATGGGCCAAACATCCCTAATATTCCACAGAGCTAAGGGCTGATCTGCCTACTTCAGTCATCACTATACAAGTCATCCAGCTCCTGTCCCCATCCTTAATTCATCAGTCAATGAGGTATCTTCCAGGCACTGTGCAGGAAGTACACAGCTCACACACAAACACTGTTTACATAAAATCAAGCTTTTCTGTGAATGTCCCAGCCACTAACCCTAGCTTACATGGAGACCAACAATGTCCCAACCATGATGCCCAGGTACCCAAGACTCTAATAGTTGTAGTCTCCCCCATGGACCAGGCATAGTGAGAGTGACCCATGCATACAGAGTGATGCCACCAAAGCTAGAGGGACTATGGGCTGCTCACAGGCCTAGAAGGTACAGTCTAGGGATGCTGCCTGTATCTGATGCCCTTAAAGGGACAGGTATCCAGGAGTTGACTAAGGACTCTGGGTCCAGCTCCCACAGTGGTGCTGAACACTAGAGTATAGAGGAAAATGCAATGGTGAAACCAGAGCATGGGGATCAGACTACACACACACATTCCTACTGGAATACTTGGCAGGACACAATGACTATCCCCAGAACCAGGAGCATGTACGACACGTCTCATGCCTTGTGACCCTAGGCCCTTGTGACCATAGGGATGTCTATGTGTTGCTCCACGTGGAGAAAGGCTACCTGCTTTTCAGGTAGACACCTTCAATGCAGAAGCCAGCTAGTGGAGTGTAGCCCAGTAGCCTTCCTACACTTGGACTGCAGCATGTTGTCTAGAGCCTCCCAAGTCTATGGAGCCTCAGGCTCACCTGAATGCCATCCAGCAGCTTGCTCATGCACCAATAGGTGTCAGCCTCAATGTTGCGTAGCACCTCTGCAGGCACACTGGAGACATCGACCCCATCCACGTCCTCCTGGTCTGTGCAGAACAAGCATGGAAGATACAAGAAGCAATCAACCATGTGAAATAAACAAAGGGGGAACGCAGCCATCCGCATGCATGCCAGCATCCCTCCACCACATTTCTCGTCATGTTGAATAAATGGCTCATGAGCCTCACACCTCGTCACTTAATGGTTCTCAAGTTTAATACCTAATTAGTTGCAGATAATTAATATTCTGAATATACTCTGATTAATTAGCATAATTAATATTGTCAATTATTGCTTCTCAGACATCTCATATTCTAAAAAGAGAAAACCTACCATATATTGCTAAGCCCTAACAGATCTGAAAGTTTTTTCCATCAGTTTTAGAAACTCTGCTTCTAATAGATTTGCATATTCATTCAGCAATAATTCCTCTAGACTACAGTTCTGAGGTAGAGCTTTCCAAGCTGCTCTGGGTAAAAAAACTTCTGTGCCAGCATCTAACATCACAGAAGGCAAAGACCCAAATCAGCCTCACAGAACACAATGGTGCTCGAAATCATTTCCGTCTGAAAGCAGAGACAACAGATGCCTAACTGAAATAAATGATTCATCGGATATTTGAACAAACTCATTTTAGGCCTTTAGAAGGACTATCACCCAGGAAAACTCTCATAAACAACTTTTAAAAATTGACCACCCATTTTACCATTTTATTTGCAAACACATGTGCATCTTTATAAAGAAAATGTTCTTTAAGAAGGAAACATTTTAGTCCAGACACATTTAGAAAGTTTAGACAAAGCCCAGCAATGCTAACAAAACTGCTAACAATTATCAAGAGTGTGTTTATTATTTTCCCATCATCCCCTCCCCCCATGCTTCAAACACACCCACTCAGGTAACGTGCCACAACTCTATTCTCATTGTCAGGTTCTCTAACAGCATGAGAGAAACAGCAGTGCAGAAAAGGTAAACAGCTCTCAATCTGTACCCCACAACAGACCTGGGTCAAGTCTCCAGCCTCCCAGTCATCCTGAGCCATCACTTCAGACCATCTTCCCCACAAAGGGCCTGGGCCACAGCCCACCAATCTCCTAGCCATCCTTAGGGATGGCTTCTTCACCAGCACTTACATGGCTCCTGGCACACATGACTATGGGAACACTGCCTTCCTGGTTCTTTGTGTTCAAAGACCAGAAAGGTAATAGGGAAAACAGCTGTAACAACGGGTTCCTGAGTAGAAGACTATAAGCAGGCTCTTTGCACTGACTTATGGAGCCTGGAGATGGTGAAAGCCCTACACAACCAGCAGGACCCAGCTCTTTGGTCATGTAAGTCAGTGACCACCAGCTCACACCTTACCTACAGTGATGCAGAAATGGTGATAGTGCCCAGCTGTTGCCATGGCACTGCTTAGGTTTAGGGGTTTTTATTTTAAATTGTAACATAATTCATACCATGAAATCTACTTTTTAAAGGTGTAAATGCAGGGCCTTCACCACATCTACATAGTGCAAGGACATGTCATTCTGTGTAAAGACCTTGTGAGATCACCACCATGAATGCCAGGGCATTTTCCTTACCCCAGTAAGAATCCCTGTCCCTTTCAGGAGTCACCTGCCCTCCTCCCAGTTCTTAGGAGCATCCACATAACTCCTGTCTGCAGCCGTACCTACTGTGGATATCTTGTAGTGAGGAGCCCACTCCTTGTGGTCTTGGTGCCTAGCATTTTTCATGGGTATGTTTTCAGGGTGTCTACATGCTGGAGACTGTCCAGGACTTCTTTCTTGATTGTGGCTGAGCAAACTCTCTCAGCTGGCAAACCAGGGACTGTCTCAATTATGGATAATGGAAGTAACAGGTAGCTGGGCTGATGATACTCTATATGGGAACTATCACTTCAGCCTAAGCTCTAGGCATAGAGCTAAGCAGGATAGGCAATGTCCACCAAGAAGTTAGTCCATTAAAGAAAAAATTGTGTTCTGGGGCCAGAACAGCCCAAGTGGCAGGAAAAAATAGGGTCAGTAACCACTGAGACACTATGTGAAGGATGCTGTCACTCATGTCATACTGGGCCCAATGGATTCACCACCCTAAGAAACATACTTGGTTATCAACTTTCCCCCTTTCCTTGGATACAGGTTAGATTGACAGGCATAGCTTAGCATCTCACCTAAACCCTCCTGAATTGCTTTGTGACAGCCACACTCTGGCAGCTCTCCAAAAATCCTCCCCTAGGGTATGCCCTCAGAAGCCCAGCTCTGGAAAACTTCTGATCTGGGAACCCTGCTGGCCCAGGAGGCCATCATTTAATCTGAACACACCCTCTGATGTAGCCCCTCAGTGATTCTGTGAGAAAGGAGCTCTCTCCCCTGTCCCTTAGGCTGCAAAGACAGAAGTTATCACCTCTCTCAGGTGACAGATGTTCTCACTGCAAGGCAGCAATAGGGGACCCCCAGGCCTGCCCCATCTAGTCCAGCCCCACTACTCCCCTTTCCACTGAGTGAAATGGGAAGGTCAAGAATGCAGATGTGGATATGAACTACCTCCTCCTGCATCCTAGGAAAATGACTTCAACAGAACTGATTCTCATCCTGGGAGCCTAGGAGCAGGGCTGATTTTATTTTCCAGTCTCGGGGCATTGAATCAACAACCACAGTTGGAGGACATCTTCTGAGATGTTTTCTACTGACATATTCTTTCTCAAGGGCCTTCCAAGCACAGGGATGTTTCCTTGGGCATAATAAAAGGGAAAGAGTGAGAAGAGCCCTCTCAGACTGCACAGGTTCACAGAAGCAGCTGGGCTAGCATAGCCTGGGCCTGCATGAAACAGGCACTGCATGGGGCGGGCAGAAGCCTCAATATTTCTTAGTCTGTTTAGCCAGCTTATTATTTTATCCAAGGAAATGTCAGCAGCCTATTCTGGGTGTCATTTCTCACAGCAGGTCATTTGTTACTCTTCAATGTAATGAAGTAATGGCATTTAACTCCAAGAAACTCTCTGCCGATTTGTCTTCTAAACGCCAAGAGAATCAGACTTGCCCTCACTGTTAGAATAAGATAAATACCCTGGCCCCCATGACAGCCACACACACTGTAGATAGGTAAGGATGGAGACATGGGCACATTGGAAGATTCAGGCTATGGGTACAGATTCAGAACCCAGTGCAGACTGCCAAGGACACCCAGAGAAGTCACTCCCAAAGAGAAGAGGATGCTGACCACCGCAGAAGACACGGCATGGACAGCACCATAGGCAAGACCAGATGACCTGACTCCCCCTCCATGTACATACATGACCTAGTGACTCTAAGAAGCAGGCAGAGGACAAACACAGGGGTACTGTGAGTCCTCTCAGTCAAGACATCTAACTCCAGAAGACACATGCTCCATGGAGTGTGCTGCAGTAGGGAAGAAGGGCAAAAGGTCAAGCTGGAGGGAACTGGAGTGGGAACCACCAGGAAAGCCCATGGATGGACTGAGGGGACTATCGGTGGGACAGCCACTGTGAGGGAGCTATCACTGATGTAGAAGGGTTTAGCCCTCCAACCAGCAAATACCCCAGCTGCAGCCATCCTACCCATAAGATGTCACCCATCACACCAGTGGGAAAATTTGATTCAACTAAGATGACAGATAAGAAAAGACAATGTCAACATTGAGGAATCCCAAGCAACCCTAGGGTTCTAAGGAAGAAACACATTTCAGAAGGAAAAGCTATCAACACAAAGGTGAAGACAGGGTAGGAAAGCTGACCTGCACAGTCACCAGCTGGAGGGCAGGGCCTAAGCGAAACTGCACTAGCCAGATGGTGGGCCAGCTCTGGGCCAAAGCTGTCCTTAGGGCTTAGTGACCGCTGTTTCCTCCCTGGGTCATCCACACACACTGCTCCACAAGCTATCTAGAAGCAGATAGCTGTGGTGGAAGGTGGGTGTACCTCTGGACTAAGAGAGGGAGGTTATATACAACCTCAGACCAGGACTGGACCCAGGGACCCATGATAGTGACGAATACCTTAGGGACTCTCTGAGGTGACTTTTGAACTAACAAATTATTAAGTGTTTTTCATCTGAAATTTGACAGGTGTCAAGTTCTTGCTCTTCCATTCAATTATAAACTAGAATGGAAACAAGCATGCGCGACACCGCTCTGGAGTGTACCACTCTCCTCTTTCCCACAATCTCAGTGCCTTACTTCCACTCAGGACCCAGACCCTGTGCCACGGGAACAAAGAATCCCCAAAGCAGCTGAAGTTTAATGGGGCACACAAGTTACCTCAGGAAACCTGGAGGAAGCAAAGAAGTGTCTCCTGCAGCCAGGACAAAAGTTCTGAGATTCCAAGAGGACCCTGGGGGAACACTAAGTCACAGAATGAAGCACAGACATTAGATTCAGGGTAATCTGACTCCTTAGATCATGGAAAGGTTTGGGGGTGAGTTAAATGAGTTGCTTTGAAAACACTTGCTACGTTACTGTGTACAAAGTCAATCTGAAAATAACCTCATGCTGTCAACAACTCCATTTACACTGCAAGTATCACTAGGAAGCCCACAGCTCACAGGGCACACAGGGAGCTAGACCACTCTTCCTCTTCTGCGGAAGAGTCCTGGGTAGAATGAAGGCAGAGTCTCAGAAGGAATAAGAGAGATGATGCTGTTGGAGCTGTCAGAACAGCTCATCTTTCCCTGTTGCCAAGAGCAGCATGACTGGGATGTGTGCAGGGTACATGTGGCCAAAACAATTAGGTGAAGAAAGCTGCTGACATTCAGTGGGCAGGGCCAGTGCTATCAGAGAGAGGCAGTACTGGAAGAAAGCCATAACCATCCCCAAAGTCTGCATGGATATGTGGGCAGACAGCAGCAGGGGAAGAGAAGAAGGTGGGAAGTGGTGGGTGGTGAGGAGGTGGACAGATAAGGGAACAATCTAAGACACTTGGGACAGGAGGCAAGCATACAGGTATCTAAATGTGACTTTGCAGTATCCAAAAGTTATTTTAGAGAAGCAAAGAACTGAATTTTCAATCCATCTTCCCATACCCAGAAACAAA